GGGGGGCTTCTGTGATTGATTTTGCTACTGCAAATACTAAGAATAGTTAACATAGCAGCATAACAACAAAGCTTTCTGTTATTGTAAGGAATATTTGCATATGGCTTCACAGCTTATTTTGAGAGGGTGAAAGAGTGAATGCTATCCCATCAACCTCCTCCAAAAATTCCTCAGGGCTTTTATTAATCATGTTAATAGAAGGTGCAAATGGCAGCCACTGCTGGTTGTTCACCAATAATCCCCTCTTCTGGACCAAAGAGCCCCCATTTTGTTCAAGTGTCAGGTGAACTCTTGCTTCCCTGAGGCCCACTCCATCCAAACCCCAGGGGTGAATTGTGATTGGTCTAAATCATATCAGATTGGCCTGGGCAAGGCCATGTGTGCAATCCTGGCCAATGAGACCTGAGGAGAGGTCTGATGGGGTGCTTCCCTAAAGACTTTCCTCTCTCTTACAAAGGAAGCATTCTGTAGGTGGGTGGAGCTGCTGTGGCCATTTTGCCACCTCGAGGGAAGCAGCCAACACCAGAGGACAGATGAGCGGAAGGATAGAGGGAACCTGGGTGCTTGACCTGGGGTTTATTTCATTTAGCATCTAATCTTTAATTCTTCCAGTGCTTATTGCTCCTACCCACCTCAGGACCTTTGTACATGCTGTTTTCTTTACCCACAGCACTGTTTTTCCTTCTCCACATAGTTGCACCTGCTAGCCCCTCAGATCTCAGAGCAAACATTGTCCAATAAAAACAAATCTGGACGTAGATAGGGAGACACGTTCATTAGAAAGAAAGGCTACGGCAATAGAGAGGACACACCAGTCTCAGAAATCTTTGAGCATCTCAAAATCAAGAAGAGAAAGGTTTTTCTCTTTTAGGATAAAGGAGGAGGCAAGCAGAATCTATGGAGGGGAGACAGACAAGCAATGGGAAGTGACAAATGGGATCTGATAGGAAAAACATCTGGCTTTAGTCATCCAGTTCCCAGGAGAAGCTGATAAGGGGAGGCACATTCTACTTTTTTGGTGCTTGCTCAGGCTTGGGGAAAGCAGAGTCCAGGGGCCTGTAGGAAAGGGAGAAGCCTGACTAAAGTTTGGTCAAGACAGAGCAGATGGTAAGAAGGGGGCAACTGTGAACACCTGGACAACGCTGATTCCTCAGAGAAGCCCTCCTTTATTCACCCAACTTGGACCCTAGAGCCAGACTGCCTGGATTTAAATTCCAGCTCTGCCACCGACTAGCTGTGCAACCTTGCATGGGTTCCTTAACCTTTCTGTGCCTTGGTTTCCTCACCTGCAAAATAGTGACAAGAAAATGATGTATCTCACAAATTGTCATGGGGATCAAACGAGTTGAGCAGGTCCCTGGCACATGGTAAGTGCTTCATAGACATTAGCTATGGCAATAAGATCCCACCCCTGGGCATTTCCTCCATAGCACTGTCTCCCCCACTGGACTGTAAAGTCCTTGACAGCAGGAA